ACGGCGTCTTCTTATTACAAAGCTGTTTCGTCTATACTGAATATCTGGTGGTCATTGTAGCCAACCTCATTAATGATCTCCTCATCTCCTGGAGAACTCCCTGCAGCTTCTCTGTCAGTACTTACAGCTTCATCTTGCGCTTTTATGTTACAGCTTCTTTCCTTAAGCCTCATGAACCACCTTCTGCTACCTTCATACTTTCCTTCTGCAGCTTCCTTACCTCCCTCTGCCCTCACGGAATTGAAGAGAGGACCTGGCTCTAGAATCAGGCTTTAATTTAAGGCAAATGTGTCTGGTTTGATTTTCTATCCAGACCATTAAAGCTTTCTATCGGCAGTAAGGCTGTTTTGCCCTCTTATTTTTATTGGTATATTCACTGGAGTAACACTTTTAATTTCTTTCCAGAACTTTTCCTTTGCATTTGGAACTTCTAATTGGCGCAAGAGGCCTAGCTTTTGGTCTCTGTTGGCTTTTGACATGCCTTCTTCACAAAGCTTAATCATTTCTTCCCTTTGTGCAAAGCGCACTAAAGCAAAGAGCAATAAAACCAGGTGCACTTGGGGATCCCTGGGTGGCTCAGCGGTTTAGCGGTGCCTTTGACCCAGGGCATGATTCTGGAGTCCCAGGATCAAGTCCCACATCGGGCTCCCTGCATGGAGCCTGCTTCTCCCTCTGCCTGTGTCTCTGCCTCTCTCTCTCTCTCTCTGTGTGTGTGTGTGTCTCTCATGAATAAATAAATAAAATCTTAAAAAAAAACAGGTGTGTTTAAAATTTCCTCACTTATCAGTGAGGATTGCCTCTTAAGTGATTTATTAAGCAAATGTTCATTTATTTATTTTTTTAAAAGAGATTTTTATCCTAAAAAAATAAATAAAAGATTTTGTTTATTTATTTATGAGAGACACAGAGAAAGAGAGGGAGAGAAGGGCAGAGACACAGGCAGAGGGAGAAGCAGGCTCCATGCAAGGAGCCTGATGTGGGACTCGATCCGGGAACTCCAGGATCATGCCCTGGGATGAAGATGGTGCTAAACCACTGAGCCACCCGGGCTGCCCTAGTTATTTTTTAAGTGGGCTCCACACCCAGCGCAGAGTACAACACATGGCTCAGTCTCATGACCCTGAGATCAAGACCTGAGCTGATACCAGGAGTCGGGCACTTAACAACTGAGCCACCCAGGGGCCCCAAGCAAATATTCATTTAAGCAATTGAGATTCATTGTTTCATAGGATCCATATTGCATCAGTAATAGATCTCATATTTCATTTTATTCTGTAAGATCTTCCTCCTCTTTTTCTTGAAATTTATTGATGAGACTATCCTTTGTCTTGGAGTTTCTCATAGTCTGGATTATTCTGTGTCCCCTTGGTGCTGATGACGGATGTGCGTCTGTCACTTGTAATTTGGTACTGAGATCTAGAAGTTGGATAACATTCGAGTAGCTTTTGCAAGCCATTTCCTAAGTGGTGTTGTGTCCTCTGTTCAGGAGGTGTGGACAGCAGGTTCCGCTCACTAACCATTGGGCAACTCGGTGGTATCATTTACATAGGAAAGGCAGAGTGCTTTCTTGATTTTGGACTGTTGGCCACTTTGCAGAGTAACAGGTCAGCTCCCTACCATCTTCTAAACATGACTGATGAATTTTTTACTTCAGCATGCACTCATACATTTAAACTCAGTTGAGGTGTTTAATCCATTGCAATCCAATCCAAAATCCAATTTTCTCATTAGCAGTTTACAGAATTGAGAATTTCTTTGTGGGGAGGTAGCTATCCAGTCTGTTATGAATGATGAAGGCCAGAAAAGAAGGTATATTCAGTACAGGAAGCTACAGATACAGCAACTCAGGCATATTCATTGTGTGTGTGAGTTAGACCCAGGGGTTCCCGGTATTCTCAGTTCAGCGCACCTACATAAGCTCCCGTAATTATTCTAAGGGACTCCCTAGGCCAAAAGAAATACCTAACAGTTCCATTCATTAAATAGATTAAGTCTAAGCAACTTAAGTATTTATGTCCCAGCAACTTAAGAGACATTTGGGAAAGTAATATATAGTCCCTGACTTAACAATGTTTCGTCTTACGAGTTTTTGACTTTACGATGGTGCAGAAGGGATATGCATTCATTAGAACCTATACTGCAAATTTTGAACATGGATCTTTTCCCCGGCCAGTGGTCTGCGATAAGATGCTGGGCAGTGTGGCAGGAACCCTAGCACCCCAGTCAGCCGTGTGGTCATGAGGTTTCCAGACTTGGAACATTCTGTACCTAGGCAGCCATTCTGTTTCTCCTTGTCAGTATTCAGCAAATTATATGAGCTGTTGAATGCTTTGTTGCAAAATAGGCTTTGTGTTAGGTGGTTTGGCGCAACCGTAGACTAATGGAAGTGTTCTGAGCACATTTGAGGTAGGCGAGCCTAAGCTCCAGAGTTCGCTAGGGTATTCAGCATGTTTTGACTTAGCTATTTTTTATTTGGAGTGGGCTTATGGGGACATAACCCTTATTGTGAATGAGGAAGATCTGTATATATTAATTTGAAGAAAAAATACTTTAAGTCACCAAAATTACTTAGGAATGGAACGTGTGTGCCTCTGGGCGCCTTTACAATCTTGGCACCGGCATGGGCGCTGCCATGGTTGGTGCCCATTCCACACTGACTTCGGCACAGTGATTACGTTTTCATTGGCTGCCGGAGGCCCTGCCTTGCAGAGACCCAAGGGCCTGGCGAGGAACGTAGCGGGAGGAAATGTCGAAACCATGAGCACCTTCCCCACGGTCTCCAGCCACATGGAGCACCCTGTTCCCCTCAAAGGTTGCAAGCGTTGTGCAGCGCCCTCTGGGTCACTGCGCGGCCACCTGTGCTGTCTGGGAACCACAGCCACGCGTCCTTCCCTCCCGACCTGGGGCCATCCTCGCCTCCCCCATCCCAGCTCCATGTTGGTGGGCAGCCCACCCCCCCACCGTGTTTGGGAACAGGTCACAGGGTCCCGTGGCATTTACTGTGACTTGCGGCCCAACACCCTGAACAGAGGCCTTCCTTGGGTGCCCTTTGTGGCCAGCCTTGGTGCTTAGAGGACTTTTTCCTGATCCTTTGATTTCAGCCACATCAGAGCTCAAGACCTGGCTTTGACATCAGTAAACCATTGTGAGGTGCAGTTTCCTCTTCCTGTCTCTGGAGTAGGTTCTGTTTAACCAAAGAGTTAAAAAAGTCTGTCAGTGTTGATGTAAAAATAGCTCAGCCTGATCAGAGAAGGCAGTCTGCTGGTAGCACTCATTTCCCTGCTGACAAGACTCAATGATGCCAGAAGCACGGGGCTTCCTGCCTTTCCCTGGCACCCGTTCTGCATATCTGTTATGGGGCTGGGCATGGGAGGAGGGTACTGCGGAGCCCCCATTGTTGATGTTGGGCTTGGCCACGGCGGGGGCCAAGAGAACATGGTCAGAGGAGGCACTATGCAAATTCTGAGCCAGGGCCTCTGGAGGCATCATGTATTTCTTTTGGCTCTTCTGGAAGTTTCCACCTTCTGCCATGTTAGAAGAGTGTGCCTTGGGTAGCTGCAGGCCTAAATGCAAAGGAAAAAATGCATCTGGGTTATACGAGTTTGGGGATTGCTCGTTACAGAACAAGAACTGACTGATACAAATGGAAAGAAGTTAATGAGAAAAAGGTAACAGTGACTGAAGGGCCTGGTGGGGGGGCTTTGTAGGTTAGGCATCTGCCTGCGGCTCCGGTCACGACCCCAGGGTCCTGGGTTGGGGCCCCATGTGGGGCTCCCTGCTCAGTGGGGAGCCGGCTTCTTCCTCCCCCTCACCTGTGCATGCTCACTTGTTCTTTCTCTCTCTCAAATAATAAAATTTAAAAAGAAATAAGATGAATTTTTAGGGAGATGTGAGAGAGAGGAGTCTTCCGTGGGATGTTACCCACACTGATACTTAAACCTAAGGGGAAGGCAGGGACAGTTTTATCCCCATTTTTTAAAAAAGTTTTATTTATTCATGAGACACAGAGGCAGAGCCAGGAGAAGCAAGCTCCACGCAGGGAGCTCGATGCAGGACTGATCCAGGGACCGCGGGGTCACGCCCTGAGCCGAAGGCAGGCGCTCAACCACCGAGCCCCCTAGGCGCCCCAGTTTTATCCCCATTTTGTAGACGAAGACAATGGGTTCAAAACGATGACGCAGTGGGTGAGCCTGGGGTGGGCCCCAGACCCCCGACTCCAGGCTCCTCCTCAGGCTGCATTGTTTCTCCCCGGGCAGGTGGCGCCCTGAGGGCCACGCACACGGCAGCCAAGCCTGGGCCCCCTCGCAGTCTGGCACGGAGGGCAGACTCCGCGGCTGGAGCTCCGCAGGGCACTGGGCTCGGTGTTTGGCAGAGAAGGGGGGGGCAGGCCCCCCACGGTGTGGGCCTCGCCTGGGCCCTGAGGGCCTCCCTCGGCTGGCTCCGGGCTCCCCGGCCACACCCAGCATGTGCGGCTCCGGGAGGAGCAGGGGGAGCACACCTGCGGCCTCGCTCGCTGGTCGGGTTCTGGATTTTGTTGCGACTGAAACCTCAGATTGAAAATGGGGGAAGCTGCAGGCAAACGTCTCTAAGGGCAGCGCTGGGAGTCCCGCAGCCTGGGGGCCAGGCCACCTGCCTGCATGGGAGGGACGCGGGAACTGTGGCCGCAGCGCCGTCTGTCAGCAGGTTCCCATTACCTGGGCTCACCTTCTGACTGGTTTTTCATCTGTGCTCCCATGACGGTTGCCTCAAGGCCACCGGGCTCCTGTCCTGCACCCTTGCTCCCGCCCTTACACCCGGAGACCCATACGTCCCCTCCCCCACACGTGGAGTCCCCTCCAGGGGTTGGGCGGCTCTCAGATCCGTGTGCTAGTCCCTGGAACCTGTGACTGCTAACTTCGGTGGCCAAAACAAAGCAAAAAAAACCCCAAACTGCAGCTGCCATCAAGTCAAGGATCCCGAGACGGGGAGAAGGTCCTGATGGTCCCAGGAATCTTGTAAGGGGCAGAAAGAAGTGACAGTGGGGGGCCGTGGCCTCGAGCCGAGCAGGTCTGGGGCCCCCGGGAGCTGGAGATGCAGGGACCTTCCCCGGTGTCTCCGCTGGAGCGCACCCCCCGGACGGCTACGCGGACTGTGCTCTCTGGCGCCTCTGGCTGGGAGAGGATGCATTTCCGTCAACATGAGCCACCAGCTGTTTGCAGACTTGTCTCAACACAGAAAACAAACACAAATGGGACAGTCGGGGATCCCAAAACAAATGACTGGACTCCGGGCCTCAGCTGCTTGGCGGTGTCCCTGTGACCCAGCCACGCAGTGTCCCCTCCGCCTGGAATACACACCTCCTCACCCCAAGGCTCTGTGCTGCCTTGTTGGCACCCGAGGGAGCCCCGCCTCCCGCCTCCCCTGGGGCCCATGGCCTGGCGGGGCCCCCGGAAGCAGTGGTGGGGCCACCCAGGGCTTCGCTGGCTCTGACCCAGCTCCAAGGTCACCTCTAGCCCGAGCGCCACCACCCCCACCCCATCCCTGGGAGAGCAGCACGTGTGAAGGACATGGGCACCCTTGGCCCTTTCATTAGACTTTTTAAAACCAAATGCAAATATTATCAGGTGATCTTTTTTTACCTGTTGAAATATGGGTGGCCAGCCTTCCACGCCCGTGGGAAAGCCACACAGGCAGCACCATTGTTCTCCGTCCCCCCAGGTGATGCCCTGGGAAAGGTCACGGCTGCCTAAACCTTTAAAACTCCAGGGGGAAGTGAATGTTCCCTGTGCTGGGACTCAGCTAACGCTCTGTGTGGGTCTCTCACCACGTTAACTCCCTTCCCTTTGTAGATTATTTTTTCTCAAAGCAGCAAAAGGCGAGTGTTGTTACTGATCAGAGGATAGCAGTTCCTGATTCTCATCTGAATCCCCGAATCCCGGTCCTCGGAGAAGCTGACCTTCAGGTGAGGATCTGGTGGCCCGAAGGCAGGGCGACACGTGGCTCCTGGAAGGTCGCTGCCACCTTCCGGGCCTGGAGCCCCTCGGGGGAGGGTGGTGAGTCGGCGTCCCAGCCCTGGGGGTGTCCTCCGGAGGGTGCAGGAGTCAGGAGACCCCAGGGTCTGCAACTTGGCTCTGCGGCTCCCTGGGCTCCCTGGCCATGGGGATGGGGTGGGGTGTGGAGCTCGGAGGCTCGTCGGGCCTGCTCAGCCGTGGGCTCCGGCAGCCACACCTATTGGACGGTGCGGGAACACTGGCTCCTAGTCCCAGCCTCGCCTGTGAGTGTCCCTCCTGTTCCAGGATGAGGGGCGCCAGGCTGATGGGGGCGCTGCTTGCCCTGGCCGGCCTCCTGCAGGGGGCCCTAGCCCTGAGAATGGCGGCCTTCAACATCCGGACCTTTGGGGAGACCAAGATGTCCAATGTCACTCTCTCCAAGTACATCGTGCAGGCAAGTCCAGGCCAGCCCGTCCCCGGGGAACCCCAGGGGTGGCTGTGGCGATGGCTCAAACAGGTGCTGGGAAGAGACGGCAGCAGCCACCTACGGGGGTGCCGCTGTCCCTGGCATGCCGTCCGTGGCTGGCAGCAGCCCCAGAGAAGAGCCTCGGGCCAGACAACGAGGTGAAAGTGCCCCAGGGAGCGGCAGCAGCTCAGGCACTGTGGGGACCAGCAGCGAGCAGGGCCACCACCCCCGGTGCCCACCCGGCTCAGCACCACCGTGGCCCTGTCCGCAGATCCTGAGTCGTTACGACGTTGCCGTAGTCCAGGAGGTCAGAGACAGCCACCTGACAGCTGTAGGGAGGCTGCTGGACACACTCAATCAGTGCGTGACAGCGGGGGTCGTGGGGAGGGAGGCCCAGGGCACGGTGCACCACCTGATGTAGATGGGAGGCTCCTGTGGGTCCCTGACAGGGACTTTTGTCTTCTTGACCCAGGGACGACCCCAACGCCTACCATTATGTGGTCAGTGAGCCGCTGGGCCGCGGCAGCTACAAGGAACGCTACCTCTTTCTGTTCAGGTAAGGGCCCGGTGCCGGGAGACGCGCCCTGAGGGTCCATGCGGTGGGTGGGGAGGAACCCAAGGCCGGAGCACATGGGCCCCCCACAGGCCCCGGGCTGACCCCCTGGCCTCCCGCAGACCTGACCGCGTGTCTGTGCTGGACAGCTACCAGTACGACGACGGCTGCGAGCCCTGCGGGAATGATACCTTCAGCCGCGAGCCCGCCATCGTCAGGTTCCACTCCCCGCTCACGGGTGCGCGGCCCTTCCCGGGGCCCTTGGAAAGCCCTGGTCCCCCCGACCCACCCCCACCCCGTGCTCCGGTCTCCCACTGAGGTCACTCAGGAAAATGCCCTTTGGGACTGCCTCGTGTCCCGGATCCTGGGGCTCAGCAGCACCGTCTCCACAGAGATCAAGGAGTTCGCTGTCGTGCCCCTGCATGCGGCCCCGCTGGACGCGGTGGCGGAGATAGACGCGCTCTATGACGTCTACCTGGATGTCCGGCACAAGTGGGACCTGGAGGTGAGTCTGTGCCCTGGAGCCCTGGAGGCACGTGCTGCGGGCCCAGACCAACCGGCCACTGTGTCCTGGCAGGACATCGTGCTCATGGGTGACTTCAACGCCGGCTGCAGCTATGTGGCCACCTCCCAGTGGTCCTCTATCCGCCTGCGCACAAACCCGGCCTTCCAGTGGCTGATTCCCGACACTGCGGACACCACGTCCACGTCCACGCGCTGTGCCTATGACAGGTAGGCGGTGGCCTCCGGGAGCAGCCTCCACTCGGTGTCCAGCTTCCCAAAACCTGAGTCTGTCCCCACCCTGAGCTGTAGTCGGTGGTGCGTCCCTGGCCCACCAGGCCCCAATGGGCTCCACGGCACTGCACAGCCAGCGAGGCGGCTGCTCAGGGTGACCTTCAGCCCCAGAGCTGTGTTGGTGGCCCTGGGGCCGACGGGATCTTCTCGTATGGCAGGATTGTGGTGGCAGGAAGTCAGCTCCAGCATGCCGTTGTGCCTGAATCAGCCGCCCCCTTCAACTTCCAGGTGGCCTATGGCCTCAGCAGCCAGCTGGTGGGTGTCCCTCCCTCTCGGGGCGCAGGCGGGGGGCAGTCAGCAAGTACTGTGTGGGTGTGTCCCTGTCCTCCCTCCCACAGGCCCAGGCCATCAGTGACCACTACCCCGTGGAGGTGACGCTCAAGAGGGCCTGAGGGGAGTGGGGCTGGCGCCCCCTAGAGCCTCCCTGTCCACACAGTCAAGCATCGTGGATGAGGTTTTCCTGAGCACCCTCTCCCCGTGGTCCCCCGAAATGTCAGGGTGGCAACTCGAGTTTGTGGAAGGAGGGATGGAGACTGGTCACCTCCACTTCCAGTGTGAGCACGGGGTGGGGGTGTGGCAAGGGCACGCCCTCCGTACCTTCTCGGGCCAGACAAAAGTTTAACATGGAGATTGACAAATGCCTTTAATTTAAGTAAATAAAGCTCAAAGGGGGAGTTGTCACTGGTGGCATTGAGTCCTCCTTTCTTGCCCTGGCGCATCTCAGGCTGCCTCTCCGGTCACCTCCGCAGGGAGACCTGGGGCCTTCGGGCCGCTGCCCCTCAGTGGCGCTCCAGGGCCTTGGTGAGCAGGCGGTTGAGGTGGCCCACCATGGGGCGGGGGTCGTCGACCAGCCCCGCGGCGATCATGGCGTTCGCGTAGATCTGAAAGGCAGGGCTCACCTCGTCAGTGGAGGATAAGGCCCAGCGGGGAGAAGAGGGGGCGTGGTTCCCTTCCCAACAGGGTTCGAGGGGGCCTCAGTCGTGAAGCGTCAGGTCAGGGTCCTGGGGTCCCTGGGGTCGAGGCCTGCGCTGGGCCCCCTGCTCCCCCCTTCTACCCTCCCCTGCGGTGCGTGCTCTCTCGAGAACCTTTTGGAGAAAAGGCAGCTTAGCAGGCGCCGCAGGACACTCACCTGATCAGCCAGTAGCTGGGCCAGTTCAGGCTCACTGTCCCGCAGTGCACTGAGCTTCTTGATCAGTATGTGTCTGCAGCACAGAAAACACCAGAAGTTAACCCCGCGCCAGGCCTCTATGTTCTCAGGACTTCTCTGCAGGGTCAGGGTCACCCAGACCATCCAGCGTAGGGAGACAAGGCACATGTCAAGTTCAGATGCTACACAGAGAAAACCAGGATGATTAAGAGGTAAGTACCAGAGTTAACACGCACCCTACCGAGGAAGGGGCGCCTTGGGCTCAGGTGTGATCCCGGGGCCCGGATCGAGTCCCGCATCAGGCTCCCATGGGGAGCCTGCTTGTGTCCCTTGTGAGTAAATAAAATCTTTAAGTTATAATCACGGAAGAACAGCTGGAAGAGCTCTCCCGTGTCGGAGCAGATTTTAAAGCTCCAGTAATTGGGCCACTGGCCCTAAAAACTGAAAAGCCGACACCACAGGAGCAACAGAGGACACAGAGGAAACGTTTCTTAACTTCACAGGACTTTTGAAGCAAGATACAAAGAGGTCGAGGGGAGAGCGGGAGAACTCTGCGCCGTCTGCCTCCCCCACAGGAGAAACACCACGGATATGCCGCCTGACCTTGTTTGTAGGAAACCTATGTCGAAATCACGACGTTTTAAGGGGAATGGCCGTAATGGAGAAGCTAGGTCAAACCGTGGGCGTTGGAGAGGTGCATGTCAGCTGCCACACAGGACAGCAGGAGTCTGTCAACCTGGGCAGGGACGTTGCTCTGGGACATACAACTCCCTCCCTCACACAGGTACACTCTTCAGCAGGCCAACGGAGTCTGCTCGCACACGCGCGCACGCCAACTCTGGGAGGACAGACCTGACGCGGGCCACACAGTTTATGTCCCAGAGAATTCCGAGCCAGAAGAACACAGAACGAATTTTACAAGCAACTAAAATTTAGAAATAGTCTTTGGCAACAAGAACGAGCACACCACGCCACTACCTCACAGAACAAGCCCCCCCCCGCCCCCAGCCACCTGAGCAGTGCCGGCCCAAGTCCAGTCTCACCCACTGCCTTCACGTCTAGTCATTTGGCTCATGGGGGGAAAAAGAACCTCGTCCCAGTCAGCGGTCTTTTTTTTTTAATTTTATTTATTTATTTATTTATTTATTTATTTATTTATTTATTTATTATTTATTTATTCATTCATTCATTTTATTTATTTATTTATTTAAATTTATTTATTTATTCATGAGAGACACACAGAGAGAGAGGCAGAGACACAGACAGAGGGAGAAGCAGGCTTCATGCGGGGAGCCCGATGTGGAACTCGATCCCGGGACTCCAGGATCACGCCCTGGGCCAAAGGCAGGTGCTAAACCGCTGAGCCACCCAGGGATCCCCTAATTTTTATTTATTAATGATAGTCACACACAGAGAGAGAGGCAGAGACATAGGCAGAGGGAGAAGCAGGCTCCATGCACCGGGAGCCTGACGCGGGACTCGATCCCAGGTCTCCAGGATCGCGCCCTGGGCCAAAGGCAGGTGCTAAACCGCTGTGCCACCCAGGGATCCCCCAGTAGGTGGTCTAAACAAAAGTTATGCTTATGAACCAACATGAGAAAAATATTTCCTGGGGCAAAAAAAAAAAACAGAACAATGTAAGACCAAGGTCCAGAAGAAAACCCACAAAATGGACTGTGGTAACTGTGGTAGGGGACAAGTCTAGGGATTTATTTTTGCTATCTTCTAACGTTTTGGGTAACCTGACATAGTTTGATTTAAAAATTATGGTAAAGGCACCTGGGTGGTGCAGTGGGTTAAGCATCTGACACTCGGTTTTGGCTCAGGTTACGATCTCGAGGTCCTGGGATCGGGCTCCATATCACGTTCCGAGCTCAGTGCAGGGTCTTGCTTAAGATGCTAAAATAAATCCTAAAAAGATCACCACTATATACAAAATCTCCCTCAATGAACAGTCTTCACATACAACAGCAAGTTAGAAAATGACATTTCAAAATATCCAATATATAAGGTACATCAAACAATAAATGTACAAGAACTCTACAGCCACCAAAAGATTATATAAGACCTAAACAAATGGACAGATCTGGCATGTTCATGGATGAAAGAATTGACATAAAAATGCCAACTCATCCGGCTCAGGGGTTTAGCGCCTGCATGACCCCGGATTCCAGGGATTGAGTCCCACATCGGGCTCCCCGCATGGAGCCTGCTTCTCTCTCTGCCTGTGTCTTTGCCTACCTCTCTCTCGTGAATAAATAAAATCTTAAAGCCAATTCATTCAAAATGGCCTCTCCTCAGCAGAGAGTCTGCTGCTCACTCTCACTCTACCAAACCTTCAAAAAAAAAAAAAAAAAAGTGACAGGACGCCCAGGTGACTCAGTGGTTGAGGGTCTGCCTTTGGCTCAGGGCATGATCCCAGGGTTCTGGGATTGAGTCCTGCTTCAGGCTCCCCACAGGGAGCCTGCTTCTCGCTCTGCCTGTGTCTCTGTGTCTCATGAATAAATTATTCAAAAATGATAAAGGGCAGCCCGGTGGCTCAGCAGTTTAGCGCCATCTTCAGCTCAGGGCGTGATCCTGGAGACCTGGGATGGAGTCCCACATATCGGGTTCCCTGCATGGAGCCTGCTTGTCCCTCTGCCTGTGTCTCTCATGAATAGATGGATAAAATCTTTAAAAAAAGAAAAAACAAATTGACGTGGGAACCAGTATAATCTCCATCAAAAGAACAGCGTGCATGCACAGGTGTGTGGTGGGAACCTGTCAGGCGACCTTGTGCCGGTGCAGACCCACAAGGAGGGAAGACCCTTTGAAGGGAACTGCAGGGTAACTCACTGAACACAGCCTTGTGGGGAAGACAGAGCTCCGCGTGCAGGGCCACCTGCTCGGGGACGGAGACATCATGGCGGATCAGCAAGGACAGAACAAGAGCGACTGCTCCCCTACCCCACGCCCATTAGGGACAGACTAAAACCAGCCGGAAAAGCCAGACTTTTTAAAGCTTTTAGAAAGAAACGTTAGAAAACTTCACAAATGCGGTGATGAAGACTTCCACAGGGGCACCTGGGGGGCCCTGGGTGAAGCGTCTGCCTGTGTGCAGGTCAATGGGGGGGGGCTGCTCAGTGGGGAGTCTGCTCTCCCCTTCCTCGGCCCCTCCCCTCTGCTTGTGCTCACTCTCAAGTAAAAATCTTTAAAAATATTCCTTGCACAGACCTTAAAAAAGCACACGTCTCCCCCCGCAGAGGGCACCTGGGCAGGTGAACCTCAAGGAAACACCTGCGGGAACCAGATGGGACAAGTGTTCTGAGCAGCCGTTCCCAGCAGCCCCCGAACGGGAACAACTCACAAGTCCGCCACGACAGACTAAACCATGGCGCTGAGGCAGACTCCTGCCTGCTACCCTGCCATGGGCCTGACGCGGCCACCGTCGGCGCGGGGTGAACAAGCACTTCAAAAGCACACAAGGGGACTCGTTACAGAAAAATTCAAACAGGCCACACGGAGCTTTCCCTGGACAGACAGTCAGACCAGAGCATGGCGAGGACTGTCTACAGGGAGGGCTAAGGGGCCGTGGAGGAGAGGGACAGGCTCCACCGAGTCCCCGGGGCATCCCGCAGGCAGTCGGGGGTGTCCTAGGACCTCACGTGCAGGGAGCGTCACAACTGAACGTAGTCTGATCGCCTAAGCGTCGTCTTTATGTTCACTCAATGGCACACAAGCCCTCACGCCTTTCTGTGTGTCACAGACACAGGCAGCGCACATAACCGTCCAGCACAACCAGGCAAGTGAGATGCACGCGCGCCCCTGCCCTGGGCCCGAGGGGCCTGCTGCCCACCTGGGGTTGATCTCCAGCGTGGTCTGCAGGAGCTGGGCGCGCTCCTCCTGTGTCTTGGCCAGCTGCTGCATGCGCAGGAAGTGCCGCGCGGCCCCCATCTCCAGCACGGTGATCATGGCGGGGTGCGTGTCCAGGCGAAGAGTCACCTACAAGCAAGGCCAGGGAGCAGGTGAGGGAGGAGCGGAAGGCAGGGGCCCCGGGCCACAGAGAATGCAAGTCTGCAGGGACGCCCCTCCCGTGCGGCACCGAGAATGGGGCCCGAGAGCTGCCACACGGGCTCCTGCAACCACCCTGATGGGCCCCTCCTCTATCCCCGCAGCCAGCAGCGTCTAACACCTTGGTTGCCACCCTTGGTCCATCTTGCCTGGTCACCTATGGGAGTCCACAAGCCCGCCCATCCCAGAGGCCTGAGCCTCCTTCCTGCAGGCGGTGCTGTCACCGCCCCCCCATGGCTCCCACCTGCCTGTATGCCAGCTGGGACACCTCCTCCTGCCAAGTGGTCA